TACGCTCTTGGTCAGTGGTACTTAATGACTTCTAGTGTTACCTATGATTACGCTCTTGGTCAGTGGTACTTAATGTGTAATGACTTCTAGTGTTACCTATGGCCATGTAGCAGGGGATTAATTTATGGCCAGTGTGTGGGAGTTGAAGTACCATATATGCAGCTTTGTGTCCCATTACTATAAGGTTTTGTTAAGCTCAGCCCTATGTCACATAACTCTAAACCAGTAAATCTTCCTACAACTTGCTGTACCACTCATCATGGAGTGTCTGTGTTGAGTGTAATGTAGCACTGTGTGGGTTTACTACTGTGGTGGCCCAAAGCAGCAAAACTAAGTGCTAATATGTCCTAGGAAAATTGCAGCAATTGAGTTCAGTATTGAATTGACTTGGTTGGAGTGTTTCTGACTCCAAATCTAACTAGGGGAGAAATTCCAAGCAGGGGCTAACAAAACTATTAAAAAAAAAAAAAGTTTTACATAAGAAACAATATCTGTGATTTATTATAAAATTTAAATTTAAGATGGTGTTGAAAGAGAATTTTGATCTGTTTAAAGATTAAAATATACAGGCATAAAGTTTGGTGATACTGATTAAAATACATTATTCTGGGAAGCTGTCTGTGTGCAAATAGTTGCTTTAAGAACTGCATTTTCTCTGTGATTTATTTGCATAGTGTAGGAGAGTGAATTCATACCCAGTGAAATACATGTCCTTTATAATGAATGGGTGTAGAGATTTAGACTTTTTCATAAAGGTCTTGTATAGGAGTTTCATCTTATTCTAAGAGTCACAAAATGAATTTAGTTTTCTTTCCTCTTTTCGTTTCATATGGGGTTATCTAATTTCTTTCTTCCAATGCATGTTTGAAAGGTTTGATATTCTACCATGAGACTTTAAAGGTACTTAGTTTAAAAAAAGAGGTTATAGGATATATTTTTCTCCTATGTTGGATGTCTGAATAATAGCCAAGATATACCAGCATTTGAGCAAGAGGAGAGAATGAAATGTTCCTTCTGTCATACCTTGGGGTCTTTTTGCTGCTGCTGAGGAATATGCTGATTAAACTTTTTTTGAACTGTAACCAAACTTATGTACAATTGCACAAGAAATAGATACCCTTAGTGATGAGAAGCTATTTAATTTTTCTTTTGTTTGACTGTTAATATAGGAATTTGAATGAAAATGGAATTCAGTGATGCACATTTCAGCATTACCTTGAAGGGAGAGTTTGCTCATAGCACAATACAATGTGCTAAGGTTTTAATTAAATGCAGAAAATTAAAATTCAAAGCTAAGTTTTGAAGACAATTGTATGTATTCATCTCTAGTGATTTTTCATATATAAAAATATACCTTCTATGTATTATCCATTATGGTAATGGTAAAATGGTATCACTTCCATGGCACTTCTCTTCCATTCAAAACTCCTCTGCTTATTTTCCTTTCTACTTCCATGTCTTTTTACATACCTTTATATATTTATTTATTTTTTTAAAAAAAGGTTAAGGGTGATCTTGCTTAAATGAGAAGTGTTGCTGAAGAAATGTGCAATGAGGTATGCTAGGGGAGCCTGTTGTGGAAAACTGAGCTTCAGCGTGTGGTACCCAGCTCTCCTAATAAGAAGAGATGTGCTCTTGTTTTCACCTAGAGCTCCCAGTACGTACAGTGTGTTGCTGGATGTCTGCAGCTCATGCTCAGGGTCAATGAATATCGCTTTGCGTGGGTAGAAGCAGATGGAGTGAGCTGGTAAGCATTTACTTCAATTTATATAGATATATTGCACTTACAATAGCATGTTCCCAAATGACCCAAATGTAATAGAATTCTCTTGCAAAAACAGCTGTGCTGTTTGAGTACAAACCTGTTTGTTTTCAAACCTTAATGCATTTGTATGAACAGGAGAAACTTGCAAGTGTAGGTACTAGTTCTGAGGCTTTAAAGTGACTTTTTGTGAAAAACTGCCAATACAGATGTTTGAAGGGGAATATACCCATTTGTCTTCAGATAAAGATGCTTTGAGATTTGTTATTTATTAAAACAGGAACTAGAGGCAAATTTCTGCTGTGTTTCCAGTGTCTTTCATTTTGGAATTTTTCAGTTGCGAAATGTTAGTAAAGGGAGAAAACAAGACATGTATAGAAATACTTCCTCACCCTGCCTCCCACATACAGCTTTAAGTAGATTGTTCTTTTATCCAGATTCTCATAAATAATTTTGCATGGGGTTGTGTTTTCACTCGTCTTTAAGAATATCCATGTATAAATAACTTCTACCATGTATATCTCTACTGGGGGGAAATGGTGGCTATACAGTTTGAAATCTAAAAGAAGAATATCTGACTTTCTCTAACTTGGAGTAGAAAAAGTTGGTAGTGAAATGAAAACTTCTAACACCTCTGCATTATCAAGGTGATCCAATTGAAATGAACTTTTCCACCAAAGTTGCTGGTCATGGTTAAGGAATAACAATAAATACTGAAATGTTATAATAGCCTACACTTCAACAAATCAGCGTTTTGTCATCTTAATTTTGATAGCAGTGATTTTGCAAGCTGCTTTTTTAATTGGCTTGGATTTTTTTGGAGAAAACTTGTTAATTGCATCTTAAAACTTCAAAACAAATTTTGTTCCACTTAAATGCGCTTTTAATCTCTTTTCTTGGCTGCCTTGTGATGTAGTTTCTCTTTTAGTGTCGCTGTATTATCTATTCATTTTGTGACCTAGCGTTATGTATAAGCTATTTGAACATTTACTTGCTAAATGGTCCCTCCTTCAAGCACTTCTATGGAGAGAGAGTCCTGAAGTGTTTCCTGTATGTGTAGATGGTTCTACTTGCTTGAACCTCTTTCCTGACTGAAAAAGTAGCTTTGTGTTTTTTTTATGGGATGACAAATAGTGCTCTAACCATGATGCTATTTAAAAAAAACAAAACAAAACATCTGAAGGCATGATGCTATTTAAAAAAAACAAAACCAAAAAACCCTAATCTCTCTGAAGGTAGATACACAATTGCATCAATTGGCGTTGGAAAAAAATTCTTTAGGGCTCTAAGGCTGAGAAATAAAATATAGTTTATTTTAAAAGATTAGACAATGTTCTTAAGCAATGCTAAATACTGGTGTATGGTATTGCAAAATGTGCCTAACAGCACTCACCTCTGCAGCTCTTTTGGGTAAGTTCCTTCTAAACTCTTCTGTAGTAATCAAATGTATATTGTGCTAACTTTTCAGTATCATGGGGGTCTTGAGCAACAAATGTGGCTTCCAACTCCAGTACCAGATGATTTTCTCTGTGTGGTTGCTGGCATTTAGTCCTCAAATGTGCGAATATCTCCGTCGATACAATATTGTTCCAGTGCTGTCAGATATTCTTCAGGAGTCAGTCAAGGAGAAAGTCACTAGAATCATCCTTGCAGCGTTTCGGGTAAGTGTCTATTGAGGGCAGATGCCATGTGCTCAGCTGCTGTTGGGTGTGAAGCTTTTCTCCTTTTTAAGATATAGTGTTGTAGTACAGGCAGTATTACAATTAACATGTGCATCTTTCAGTGCCTTCATAGATACTTGTTGTCTGACAAATATTATATTGAACACCTGCCTTAGTGGCTTCCTGTCTGTAGTTCAAGGGGTTTTTGTTTTGTGTGGGTTTTTTTTTTTTTTTTCCCTACCAGTAGTAGTGTTACAACACTGGAGTTACTGGTGCTTCTGAAGGCAGAATTTATCAAGTTCTAATTAAAAAATGCCCTTTTGAAGGAATCTATTTGCCCAACTTCTTGACTGACTTGGAAACTATCTTCTATCACCTAGTCAAAATTTTTCCTTGGTGGCTCTGTCAAGATGAGCAAGGATCTTAGTATTAAATGGGGAAATACAGCAAAAGAGCTTTAAAAATAGTGACAAGTTTCAGTAACTTAATATTCAATATCTTCCACTTCTGAGGTCATAAAAAATTAATTGCTAGTTCTTAGAGTCACTGTGTTTTTTCAGGAGGAGGCAAAGCCAAGCCAGACTCTTTTACTGAATAAAGGCCGAGGAAGAACATGGTGGCTTTGTTACACGTTTTGAGAAGTTAGTGGTGGGGAAAGAAAACAGCTAAGTTGGACTCACATGACAGCAAGGGTATAAATTGACAGGCAAGAAGTATGGAAATTAGACATTAAAGCTGTTACTTCTGCAACAAAGCGGTTAACTTGGCCTTACTTTTTGTGAACTATCTCCTACATTTCAGATCTCTTGAATAATGGTTAGAAGTTCATATTATTTTTCATATAGTAAAATGAAGTCGATTGTATGTAACCATTAAAAGCAGTAATAGAACTTCTTTTTCCTTATGCAAGTTTTAGCATTTATTTGCAGTACTTTACTAAGTAACACAATGTCTCATACCTTGGAAACCTTAAGTATAAAGCTTGTCGTGAACAAGGGCAGTGTAGTCAAATTCCTTCTGTAAAATGACATTACTTTTTCTCTACTAGATGTTAATGTTTATTCATATAGACACAACTTCTGTTTAAGGACTTACTCTTTTAATACAGGCTACCTGTTGTAAGCATTATCAAAATGTGCAGGTGGCTAGCTCTGAACAACCGAATTTGAAGCTGATAACACTGAGCAAAAATGTAACAAATAAATGATATTGGAACTTTATTATTACATTCTGTGCTTGACTTACTAGCAAGCTTCTCTTTGAATAATAATAATAAAACTCACTGAAATGTTTCCAAATTCAGAAGAAGCTATTGTAAACTATTAATGTGGAAAGACTTTTTTTTTTTTTTTTTAAAAAAAGGCTTTTCTGCTAAATCGGATATTCTGGAAATTGTTGAGCCTGGAAACTCAAAGTAGAAAAAGGTGATGTGGGTATTTCAAATGTATGTAGCCTATGTAGCAGCTAATACTCTTATACCATTCTACATTATTTCAGTGTTTCCTCAATCCTTTTCAGTCACATTGTGATCTGATGGCATTTATACATGCCGTCCTATTCTTTTGGTTGGTTATGGTTGGTTTGGATGTCATGTTGGCTCTGTTGCTTGGATCTTGATCATAATTCCTAATGGACCCTTTTTATACAAGCAAGCCTCTTTAAACATATCAATATGGAAAGCAGGAGAAGAGGGTTTTCCTTCTAGCATAAAACTCATTTCACAGTCTCAGTGCTAGACACACGTGATTTAATAGGGCCATCAACCCCCACTGAGGTCTTTCAGCACCCAGAAAGTAACACATTGCAGAAAGATCTTCCTTCCTCCGAAAGATCTCATTCAAAAATACTAGGGAGTCCCTGACGGAGAGGTACAGACTCAAGAAACCATACCTATTTCCAGGTAAGCATGATATATGGTTTCAAATTCTGCGTGTCTAGAAAGATCTTTCCTTTGGTGTTCACAGAGTTCTGGAGGGTTACTTGTGAAACTGGCAGATGAAATGTGTTTTTATTCACTCGCTTGTTTCTTGACAAGGAAAAAAACATGATACATTTGTTGTCTCTCATAATCATGCTGAACTCCCTGGAGGACTAGAGATAGGTATTTGCAAACCTGAAATAATGACTCGATTCAGCAGCTCCACATCCCTCTTGTACTGTGGAGCCCAGAACTGGACACAATACTCCAGATGCGGCCTCACCAGGGCTGAGTAGAAGGGCAGGATCGCCTCCCTCGACCTGCTGGAGATGCTTTTTTTTAATGCACCCTAGGATCCCATTGGCCTTCCTGGCCACGAGGGCACACTGCTGCCTCATGGTCAGCTTGTCGTCCACCTTAAATCAAAAACTGCTAAAAAGGACTTCTTAAAAATACTAGCCTTTTCACTTCAGAATAGTTTTTTTCTTTTAAAAAAGAAAATATATTTTCCTAGAATCTCTTGGAGAAATCTGCAGAGAGAGAAACTCGCCAAGAGTATGCTCTTGCTATGATTCAGTGTAAAGTTTTAAAGCAACTAGAGAACTTGGATCAGCAGAAATATGATGATGAAGACATCAGCGAAGATATCAAATTTCTACTGGAGAAGCTTGGTGAGAGTGTACAAGATCTTAGGTATGTTTTGTTGTATGAACTTTTCAAAAATATAATTATAAAAACATTAGGAATATTTTTTAAAATATATTAAGTATGTGTGATTATAATATACTCTAATATATGTGTAATATATACGTATAATATATAATGTTGCAATACACTATTTTAGCTTTAAATATGGAATTATAATATTTATTTGACTGATAAGAGACCATATCAGAGGTGTTAGCTGTATATGAAAGATGTATATACATGCTGAATTGAAGTTCTTCCTTAAAAGTATACCAGCTATGACAATCACATAACCAGTAGTGAAGATTTTTTCAATGGCAATTGATAGGGAATACACGCAGTCCCAGTCTAAGCTAAAGACTGCCTAACTTGGACAGCAGGAAATAAGCTAATTAAGGTTATGCTTCCCCTTTTTTGCAAATAATTGAAGTGCATGTTAGAGTTTGTCAACTTTATGAAAATCAAGGACTGTGAACCTTTGGAGAAATGAAATTCCAGAAAGCGTGCAAAATAGCCTTAAACTTCTAGAAATGTATAGGCTGATGTTTGACTTCAGGAATCCTGTTTGGGGTGTGTGTGTGCCACACACATTCTTCCCTTATCTTTCACATTTCACCCATTTTGAGTAATGATGAACTTTTGTGAGCAGAAATGGTTCTTGTGCTTTGCAGAGAGGTGACTTCCAAAATGTTTTATAACAACCTGTGTTGCAGTTGTGCGTTGTTGGGGCAGTTTTGGGCGTGCTGTTCAAACTCCATTCACGGAAGCTGAGCCCACATTTCTCTGAGTCTTTGTATTGCAGCTCATTCGATGAGTACAGTTCTGAGCTCAAGTCAGGAAGGCTGGAGTGGAGTCCTGTACACAAGTCTGAGAAGTTTTGGCGTGAGAATGCTGTGAGATTGAATGAGAAGAACTATGAACTTCTCAAGTAAGTCCTCAACTCTTGTTTCATATTATGCTTTAGTATTTTCAGTTTTTAACTGATACCGTGTGTAATACCCAATTTATTTCAACAGGAAGTAGTGACTAAAGTGAGAACAAGTGGGAATGTGTAGTCCTTAGCCCATAGCAATCCTGCTCAAAAGCTGAATTGATTTGCTGAAAATATATTGCAGACAATGGAAATAATAGCTTAACTTGCTTGTAAACTTGCACAGATGCTTTTAATGCCTTTTTTTTTGAGAAACAGTTACATTAATTGATGTAGTTAAAAACTGATTTTGTCATATCTTGGGTTGAATTTTGTGGTGTTTGTCACTGAGCAGAGTGTAGAACCTCTTCTAAAATACTTGAGGGCTGGAAGTTGTGCTATTGTTCTGTGGTTATTGCTAACTTTCTGTAATTGGAATGCATCTGTCTCTCCTTAAGGGTAGATTAATTTTCCAATCATCCAGATGCTTTACTCTTTGTTATCAGTCACTAGCCTTAATATCTGCCAGTTGTGTTTTGTTTTTTTCTGGTTGCTAAACAGTTTCTATTCCAAATAATTAGACTATTCCATTAAGAGACAGTGTTAAGAATTGGGAAGCTGAGAAGCTGTTTTATGATTTACAGCTCTGTATTTCTATTCAGGTAACAAAATCAGTAACACTTCAAAGAGGAGTTCATTACAAGTTATCTCTTTCATCATTAGTCTTTAAAGAGTGAGAACAAAACTGCATAATTTTGTTTTCTTAATCAAAGCAGTTAAGTGGATGATATCTGAGGTAAAGATGCTCCTGAACTCAAGATGCTCAAGAACGTCATAATTAAACAGACCAAAGTAGTTGTAGTACTTTATTCTCAGCTGCCCTTTAAAAGTTACTGTGCGAGTGGTGTTATGCGTAGAATTCTGCCCGTTTTGCTGGTCTGCATCATGCTAAGGAAGCCCTCGCGTGTAGGGTAGCAGGGGAGTGGGCCTGGGAAAAGGCAGGTGGAGAGCAGGCTGATACACTGGGCCTGGGAAGCCCCGTTATCCTGCTCAATGTGTCGCAGGCAGCATATCCTGGCAGCTTTTCACATCCATGCTGTGAAGCCAGCTCCTGCACTTGGGAATGGCGAGGAAACTGGGGTCTGTTGTCTTAACACCAAAAGTGGAAGCTGTTGGATTTGTGTGTACTTTGTTTGTGGGGCTATCTCACATTTCCCCTCCCCTGTCTGTAAACATTAATGTATTTTGTTAGTACAGCTGGTCTTGAACTCAAAGCTGTTCTTTCTGAAGTTAACATATATGGAAGAAGTAGGTATTTTGTAAGCCGTGGTGGTATTTGTAGGTGACGTAGGGACATTAGTGAATGCTTTAACAGTGTGTGTGTGTGTGTGGGGGGGGGGGGGGGGCTGTTTGTGTTTTTGTTTTGCTTTGTGGGTGTTTTAATTTTTTTTCCTTTGTTAATGAAGGCAAGATCTGTATTGCTTAACTTTCCAAACATGCAGTTAGATTTTAAATTCTGGATTATGGCGCAAGTGACTGTATGATGTGCTTGTGGTTGCGAATGGTTAGTTTAAAGTCAGTGGTAGAAAATCTGACACTTGATTCTTTTGAATCCTTTCCTAGAATCCTGACAAAACTTCTGGAGGTTTCTGATGACCCACAAGTGCTGGCTGTAGCTGCTCATGATGTGGGAGAATATGTACGGCACTATCCCCGAGGAAAACGGTGAGACAGATGCGCTTGCTCGGGAGACTAAGCTAGAGCATGCACTTTGACTGATCATTGCTACTTTAAGATAAGGTACACTGGAATCACAGATTTTTCTTGAGTTCAATTCACTGGGAAGATATTGCAGATGACGAAAGAAATTGGGTTGAGCAGGGGGGTTGGACTAGATGATCTCTAGAGGTCCCTTCCAACCTCAACCTTTCTGTGATTCTGTGTGATTCTTGGCGTGTTACTAGTATTTCAATAGCTCTTGACAGTGAAGGAAACCTGTGGGTGTGCGGTTTGTTTCCCCCCTCCCCCCCCCCCCCCAAAAAAAAACAAATCAGAAACATTTTTTTAAACTAAAATATTACACATTTCAGATGTAATTAGAATAACTACTCAGAATTTAATAGCTTGTTATTTTTATCCTTTATTATGTCCAACTCTTAGGATATAATGTTGGGCTTACAGTGCACTTTCAGCAATAATTCCTTTTTTTTGTCTTGGTTGTTTTAAGACATATCTTTATTTTTTCTTCGTACAAACAGTTCTTCAATAATATTGGCAAAGCTTTGGTTATCTTCCTATTTTAGTTTTTTTTCTTTGCTACACAAATATAGGTTTAACCAAAAATGTTAATGTTTGCTGCCCCTGCAAATTTCTGTCAAATTCATTATATATAGAACAAAGCAAACAGTAGTGTATATATACACATACACATACACTCTTACTATGTTTCAATACATAGTTGTGTGTATATATTTGTTTTCTGTTGTGAAAAACAGTGAGCAAAGGAACTTAGTTGCTGAGTAATTCCATCTCTGAAGAAATTAGACCACTGTAGCAGCAAGGGCATTACAAATGTTTGCAGGAATCATCCTCATTAGCCACCCAAAGTGGGGAATTAAGACCTGCATTTTAACTTATATAGCAAAGCAGGGGTCTTTTTATGAGTTCCTGGCTAGGGTTTAATTGAGAGTTTTTACTGAATGCTCTTGCTTTAAGCTGCCCCTTGTTTGAAAGCATTTTATTAGACATGTGCTGTACTATTTAAAAAGCTTGCATATGTTCACTTGGGAGTGCAACATCATACCTGGTTTAATGTGGCCATGTGGTTGCAAAACCAAAGCTACTCAGTTAAGTGAAAGCAGAAAAAACCATCACCTCCTTGTTCTGCAGTTGGGGAAAATGTATTGCTGAGAGGACCTCAGCTCCACTCATGGCCTGTTCTCCCAGGCTGGTAAACCTCTTCTGTAGAGCTTCAGCTGTCAGAAGGAGTGCTCATAGGCAAGGTAGAAGTGTCCTAGCTACTATTGTAACTCACGTTCTTCTTGCAAATTTTAATGCTTCAATTCTTGTCTGCATACAGAAAACTAAGCAAGCCATGCTGTTCTTGAAGGACAAACTAAAATGCTTTCTTTCAAAGGATTTCATTTGTATTCTGGTGTATCCTTACCAAGCATGACTTAAGCAATTGTAGGAGTGAAAGCTTAAAACACCTAAGCGCAGTGTGTCAGTTCCCCTTTAATAGGCCATTTCTTACCATAATACTTTCTGTTATATAGTTATTTACTGCTCCTATAGTTGCTTGGCATTTCACATTTGCAATGTATGACTCGCTTAAGAATCGATGACATTGCTTGGTTTTGAAGAACATGAGAGTTAATGTGTTTAAATATTATTGGCACTTTGAGTGTCCTCGGCTCTTTAGCTGGGTCATCATTCAGCCTTCAAAGACTGCAGAGACTGACTTAGAAGCTCTATGTTCTTGAGTCTGCCTGCTGTGTACGGCAGAGCTTTAGATTTAAAGGCTTTACTAACCTTTTCCATTGTCTGCAGAAGTTTGTGTTAAAATGTTCGTTAAAGCAAATGCTGTATATCTGTCTGGCTGTTCTCCAGTACTGTCAACTTAACTTTAATCTGATCCATGATGTGTGTGTGTGTGGTTGGTTGGTTTGTTTTTTAAAAAGACAGTAGCATCATGGGCTTCCAGTGAGGCTCCCCTAGCAAGGATATTCTGAGAGTCCCACTTCCCAAATGAAGTATAGTACTGGCATTTGCTCTCACTTAAAATACATTGGAGGCTAATGTCTAGCCTCTGCTTAGCCTCCTTATAACTTAAGTTGTCCCTGTACAAGGTGAGCATTCTCAATGACTTCAGTTCTGTGAACACAGCTTTGTTCTGCAAGCAGAAATTAACCTAGAGCCATTTCCTTTTTTCAGTTGGGATTCAGAAACAACTTCATTACCTCCCCCTTTTCACTTTGGTCTGGTTTTGAATGTGTACTGCCACTTATATTATCTTCTGCTGCTATGACTGTCTGAATGGTTGTGATCTGTCTTCATCCTCTTTTTTCTTTATATAATACACCATGATAATACTTGGCTCTTCTGCTTCCAGTAACTTCTTTGAATTCTGAATGCTGTCTTGGCTTAGTCCACTGTTTATATGGTGGAATAGTCCCTGCGGTAGATGTACATAGATTAAAGCAGCCTGATGATCCACTTACTGCTCTCTAAAGCTAGAGCTTAGGGAGAGGGAAAGCCATAGAAAGAAACAGAATTTAAAAACAAGCGCTTTGAGCAGTGCTCTAGGTGTCCCTGCTGGAGCAGGGGGGTTGGATTAGATGATCTCTAGAGGTCCCTGCCAACCTCAACTGCTCTGCAAGTCTGTGAGATGTGGAACCTGAAGAAAAAGAATTCCTTCCTCGTAGGTGCTTACCTTCCAGTCTAAAGCAATCAGTTGGGAAGTGCTTTGTACAAGTAGGCAGTGATATGCAAGTGTGGTAACTGCTCTTTATGTTCTCAGCCATCACTGGACACTGTTCCACTGTCACCTGAAATAATCCATTTTCATTTGCAATAACAGCATTTTAACTTTCATTTTGAGTTATCCATGCTTCATGTAAAAGGAAGAAGCTTTCTGAGTTTAATGCCTCTTATCTCCTTCCACTTCCTCAAAAATCAGTGTTTGTCTCTCCTGTAATGAGAAAAAGGTTCGTGATGGTATTTCATAGTCTTATTTTTATCTAGTGCCAGTGGTTTTATCTTTTCCTCTTGAGGAAAATGTGAGGAAGCCTCAGGCAGGCTTTATGCATGGTTTATATTACTAATGCTTTTTTTCTTTAATTTTAAAGGGTTTTCTGTTTTAAAAACATCTGTATTTTTTCGTATGCTTTCCTTTTGTATGAAGCATCTTTAAATATTTTAGTACTATTTAGAAGAGCTATTCTCTATAATAGTTTCCAGGATGCTTTTGGCAGTTATAAAATGCAATGGGAAATTCTGCATTTCATCTTCAAATTACGTCTTTATGTTGTTGTGCAGTTAACAAAAATGCCATGTTTTATGCAGTGGTAATGCATTCATTTGCCTATAAAAAGAACAGTGATAACAATAGACGGTTTGTGTAATTTCAGAATAGTAGCATGTTAAGAATGAGGGATGTTTTAAATCCCATTAATTCATAGGATGTTTAAATACTTGGTTACTTGTGAGAGAACTGGCTTTTTATTTTAAAAGCAGCTCCAAATGAGTAATGAGTTTTTTTGTAACAAATGCCATTTCTTATGACAGACCAAGATACTGCATGTAAAGAGTCTTCTGAGGGGTGATCTTTTTTTATTTATTTTATTTTTTTAGGTTTCAGTGTAGTGCTTTTTTTTTTTTTAAAAAAAAGAAAAAAAAAAGTAATCCACATTCATAACTTCTATGAAATACTGATAAATCATCCATGGGACTTAATAGAGAAAGTAAAATGTTGTGGCTGATTGTTGTGAAGTCTGTAGTGAAGGATGAAACTTAACCCCTTTTGTTGGAAATGTGGCTTTCAGCAGCCAGTAGTTCTGCATCTTGTGCATAAATAGCTGTGGCTTTGGAATTTGATTAGTGGCTTCTTGACGACTTTAGGGGCTTCTCATTTTACTATTTGCTGGAGCTTCTCCATGGTCACCATTGAGAGGCATCTGTTTTTAACTGAGAAAAAAATCAGAATAATTTCAGTAGGTAGTATGAAAGTGTTGCATCTTATTTGATATGTTACAAATATATCACAGGCTATAACTTTAATATGTTACTTTCTAATAGATGTAATTTTAACCCTTTAATGCTGTAAGGTGAAGCAGTTGGATAGGATGGCTACCTCATAGCTGAAGTAATGTAAAAAAATTGCTGTCTTTCAGAGTTATTGAACAACTTGGTGGCAAACAGCTAGTAATGAACCATATGCATCATGAAGACCAGCAAGTTCGTTATAATGCACTACTGGCTGTTCAGAAGCTGATGGTTCACAACTGGTATGTGAAGCTGATTTAATGTAGACTGTTAACACTAAAAATAAGTTATAGAGGCAGATTTTCTTAAGAAATCAACATTATAATGTGGTAAGATTGCAGTTCTTTAAGAAATAATAGAGCTTTGTGATTCTGATGTAAGACCTCAACCTATGTTTTCTGCTTGATTTTGTTGTAGTTGAATTGAGTAGCTTGACTTTATAGGGTCAAGTGGAATGTGAATAATTTAGTTCACTCAAAGTATTCTTTATTACTGAACAGTTGAGGTAAGTTTTATGAACTGTAATTCAGGCTTGCAAAACTACATAGCCTTCAAAATGTTAAGGATCTATATAGGTCTTTAGCAAACTACTGATTCTTTTAGCTGAGATTGTTTGACCTGGTTATGTTACAGGAGTTGACAGTTACAGTGTTGAATTAGCAATTATTTGGCCAGCTTATCATTTTTGCATATTGCTTTTCTTACTGTTCTAATGCTTATCCCCATTGTATGCTGATACCTTTATTCTGCCTTTTTAACATATATAAGTGCAAACATTATTCCTGTGCACATGAACTAGCAGAAGCTGTTGGGCAGGTTGGTTAGATTAAGTTGAAAATGATGGATCTCTCATCAGCTGCTGAAAACCAGTGTTTGACAAGTAGGTGTTTTTGTTTTTCTTTCATTTTTTGCCTACTAGTTCTCTAAAAGCTCAAAAAAATCCTGATGTCCTGGAGTGCTCTACTATAGAATTGACGGGTGGGTGATGCTGGAAGTATCTAGAAGAAGCACTGAAGGCCTGAAACTATGAAACATTTTGGTGTTCATGTAATAACCTTGTCTAACTTGACAAACTAAACAGGAAAGCATAAAACATGGGGAGCTGATTTAGAATTCCTAATCTGATGCCTGATGATAACCAAAGCTCATATATTTCCAATCTTGGCATTGCCTTGGTGAGAGATGAAATGCTGCAATGCAGTGAAGCATCTCGACACAGGTATTGCAATATAAACATCTGTTTTAAAAAGCTGTTCTTAGGATCTGGTGTTTGGAGGTACCTAAAATGTGTTGTTTTATTTTCTGCTTCTGATGTAGTTTTTCTTTTTTTTTTTAAGGCTGAGCACTGATGTTAGCAGTGTGAAGGTGGTAGCAGTGAGTTTATTTACAACAAAATAGGCTTTTTAACTCCCTACTGTAGTAGAATATTAAGGATGACTAAACCTGATTTTACTGCAGAAGGTGCCTTGTAGGAAAGGGGTTTAACGTCTGCAGATATGTCTGCAACCTAATTTGGGGCAGGTTTATGTACTATACTCTCCCCTGTTTCTTGGCTTCTTTCCTCACTTTGTGCTGTTCTGGTACATTTGAAACATGCTGAGTGTTATAAATCAGCTGCAGCAAAATAGAGATTACGGTGTGGAGAGGTTAGTTGATGAATTTTCTGCAGAGGTGTGAAGTAGATTTATATTTGCAAGCCACCAGGAGTCACATGAAATAAGACCTAAGTCGCCTTTTTGCAGCACCATCTCATTAGCAGTAAGAATTCTGCTGGGCCTCTAACTTGGCTTTTCTCATCTTCAGCACAATTAAGTAGCCCAAACTTACTGTTCTGCATTTTCATCATTCTTTTTATGGGACAGACGTTTCTGGCCTTGGCTATTCATGGTTTGTGAATATTTAGAGTTGAGAATGAGAGTGTGATTACAATTAAATCCCTCTGCAGAGGTGTGTCACTAAGGGTTCTATTTAAGGTGGCACTGTCTTTGCATTTACATTGCCTTCTCAACAGGGAGTATGTTGTTGTTTTACACTTACTGGAGCAAGTCTCTGGGAACTGCTGCCTTTGACCCATGATTGTGGAAGGAGTGTGCTCTTTAGGGTCAGATAGCTTGGGCTAAGGAAATAACACTTAGCTCACAGTTAGGAAGCTAAATAACACTTAGCTCACAGTTAGGAAGCTAAATAACACTTAGCTCACAGTTAGGAAGCTAAATAACACTTAGCTCACAGTTAGGAAGCTAAATAACACTTAGCTCACAGTTAGGAAGCTAAATGTGCCGTTGAGTAGATCAGGCTTTTGATATCTACCAGTAGCTCTTTGTTTTGTAGCTTGTGTGGGGAGAAGAGGAAGCCAAGTTCCCCACTAGCTCTATAGTGCAACAGGGGTTACTTATTTAGCTTAGACTTGTGATAACATGGATTACTCAGCAACTTCTGAGGCTTTGTTCCTCTTGCTTTTGAGTTGGAGGAATTTTTGCGCTTGGTTCCATATGTATTCCAATTCATTTGAGGCAGTCTTCCTTTTCATTCAGTCAAATTGGGATGATACAGCTCTACGTAATGGTCTGTGATATGTGCAGGGCTGAGCAAATCTGGCCCTTCCTAGATTTGGAGGCTAAGAAGGATAAGGGAGTCAAGGCTGCTCTGCCAGGGTGAGGCTTCGTGGTGTAACCATGTCAGTGGAGTAAGGAAAGACTTTTGGTGCTTAGTCAAATGTCCTACCGAACTACTTGTCTATCGAAGAAGGGGAGGGAAATGAATGAGGGAGTGTTTTGGAGCAACTAAAGTGGCATTCTGCTTTAAACACAGCTGTATCATTTAGACTAACGATAACTCAACTTGGAGACAATTAAATTCTAAGTAATTTGAATAGCCCAAAGGCTATTCAAATAGGCTGCTCAGCTGCCTTTTCCTTAGGGGTTTTTAAGTCACGGATAAATGGGGGGAATCAAACTGTCAGGCATTCTGTTTAATGGCAAAACTAACTTGGCAGAAGCAGTAACTGCTGCCAGTTTTTCAGAAGAGGTAAGTTCAGGTGAAATATTTCTGTTAAAATTGCATGTCAAATGATCATGCATTTGATGAAGTGGATAGGTAAGTTATTGTTTAATGTCTTTAAGTGGTAGGTTATTTCCTCACTTAGCAACTCTATATTAGCGCTGGCACCCAGGGCTGAACATTTAATAATAAAAAAGTAGTGCAGGTTACCCTTTTTTCCCAGTCTACCAATAGTAGGCTTTTTTCTGTCCATACTCTGTGCTTCATCTTATGCTATCTACTCAAAACATCTTCTTATTCCATTCTTTTGCTGGTATACAGAGGGTATACTAAAATGGACAAGTTGGGTATTAGGATTGGGTGTCCCTGTAGGTTTTGGGAACCTAACCTTGTTGGCTGCAGCAACGTTCTTATGCTGAAGGCTTGAAAAACATCATGTCATTAACTTCAAAAATGCAAGCATATATGTAATTTTAAGATAGCCAATTATGTTCACCTTTAAAGGTAGGATATTCCTTTTGTGTGGTTGATGGCATAAAATTTTGCCCTACTTCAAGGATGAAATTACAGCACTGAAAAGCACCTAAAGATAAAAGCCTAGGTTCTGTTTCTGGACAAAGGAGAAAGGCAGGCAGTTTTCCAAGGCATTGCAGAGCAACTTGTGTGCCTGAAGCTGAGCAGTGTGAATAATCCTGTCCTTACATATGTGTGATCCTGTAACCTAGTGGCTTCTTTCTATGCATACTAATTGTAGCCTCCTGTTATTTGACTAAAGAACTAGATGAAGAGCTGGGTGAACAACATTCTAGATGTTGTATATTTAAAGTGCAATTTATCTATCACCTTACTGGTCATGCAGAACATACTGCATTAGTTTGCACCACTCAAAATGCTAGTCCTGTAGCCAGGCTAGGCCAGGGGAGCCACAACTCATGCAGTGAGTGTTCTCTTCCCTGTTGGTCAAGAGTCAGAGGGGGGGCAGAGGGGTAGAAAAGTGAGAATTATTGTAATATCTAGCCTATGCATTGGTCTGTTGAGCTGCCAAGTTGTTTCCTGGTACTTTCCCACCCGTGCAGCTAGTTTATAACACCCGGCTGTGTGTGGTACCCTGTAGAGGGAAAGGTGGATGGCTGGCAAATCATGTCAATGTGGACGCAGTTATTGTGACGAGAGTAGCTGTGGCTCGTCAAAGAGATTGCCAGTTAGCTTGTGGTATGCAGAGATAGATCATGTGGTGTGTGTGTGTTCGTTTTTTTCATACTAATGTATAAGGAACTAATATTTTTCAAATATCAAATATTCTGACTTTGCATTTATTTTATTAAATAGTTCATTTTCATGCAGTTTCAAATAATAGGTAAAAGATTGTCACCAAAAATTGAATTTTCTGACAAATTCATTTATCCCAATAAGTCTGTTTTAAAATTCAGTCAGGTATCAGCCATTCTGAATGATTCTATACAAGCTTAAAGCTCTTAAAAGTTGAAAGCATTTTGTTTCACTGTTCACTGTGGCAAGTAAATCTATATAAAAGCAAGTTAACTTGCTTGATTTAGTGAGGTTGGTTCTTCAGTGTCTCAAAATGATTCTGGGTGTTATCTTGTCATTCATTCCTTAAGTGAAAAGGGCATCAGGTGAATGACTTGAACCTTGTTGTAGTAATAAGGTGACATATTGTTTAAATGAGTTTTATAATTTTTCTTTTTTTTTTTTTTAATTCGAGAAGAATCTTAAGTGTTTCAGGACTGGCCTTGTAATAGATGTTTGTTGATCTACTGTTCTCACCTCAGGGAATGGAGACTGCTGAGTGACAGTGAGGTTCTCAGTGTCTCTTAAAATGCTGAATACACTTGAGGACTTATTTAATAATTTTACATTTCATATTGTAAGGAGAAAGATAACTCATTCTTTGAATAGTGTTTTGAGTAATCGAGTGTTAATCTCTATGTTGTCTATTAATGCTTTGACATTTGGTTGTAGACAGGCTGTATTAAATAAAACTTTCACTTAGAGTTTTTATTTCTTCTACTCAAGCATTGAGGTTTAGTGTATTGTGTGCATCAGATGATGTTGAGCATCTTTACTGTGAATAATTAAGGTGAAAAAATGTCCCAAGCATAGTTCATCAGAGACTTGTTCTTGTACCAGCCTCTGGTGAGTGATAGCTCTTAAATACTGCAGAAGTCGCTGCATCCCTTTATCCTCTGCCTCAAGGTCCAAGAGCACAAACATAGACCAAAAA